CGGGCGCGCCCGGCCCCGGTGGCGTTTGCCTTGAGGGCTGTCAGAAAGCCTTTGGGGAGGCTGCGGCAGGCCCAGGAGAGCAACCTGGCCAGAATAGACGTGGGAAGGCAGAGGAGTGAGTGGCAGTGTTGTGTGTGTTGGCCCTGTTCTTGCCCTTTGTGTATCTTGTAGCTGGTGTGTGTGGCTATCCCCACAGAGAACTGGCTGATGAGTGGCCCTAGCAAAACTTCAGGCCCATCATTGGGGGACGGGTGGAAACAGTAAAAAAGTATGGAATACCAAGTGTTTATGGAATGGGGTAATACATTTGAAAAGGGAAGGTTAAAAGGCTTAAAAAGAAAAGGAATGTGATGCCAGCTAGCACTTCTTGTCACTGTTGATTTCTCGAAAACAAAACTAAATGTTCTCTTCCCTGTCTCTTTGTAAAGGCATAGGAATAGAGAACTGACAGAGAGCACCAAGCAGCACCACCCTGTCAGTGCTCAAGGCTCCCCAGAGGTGCCCGCAGAGCTGGCGAGTGCTGCGTAGTTGTAACCCCTGAGACCTGTGACAAGACAAAAGAATGGAAATTCTTCCCTGTTGCAGCTGTTGGGGATCCACTGTCAAATTACTTCACTTGGAGCTGTGAACGCCCAGGTTGGCCAGGAGCTGGAAGAAGCAGCCCTGTACAGGGCTGGAGTGGTGATTCTTAAGGTTTTTCAAACTAATCCAGGCTCCCAAATGGTATTTTCAGGTTTAGCATCTAGAAGTTGTGAGATAATCTGAACTTGAGTTTTACTAGAACTGATGCTTTCCTGCCAGTCTTGGGTCTCAGGACTTTTTGTTTTGCAAGGTAGCTGTTGAGTTTAGGAAAACACTTTTTTTTTTTTTATCTTGAAAGTAGAAATTTTTGTATGCTTACTGGGTCTTTAGCAACTAACTTGCAACACCATATAGGAAATGAGCATTTTTTCCCCATGTTACTGCTAATGGTTTGCTTTCAGTTAGAGTTTGTACAAAAGACCTCAACTCTGTTTCTCTGGTATTTTTCTTTTGGTTTGACAACCTTATTCTGTGCTCAATGAAGTTCTCAAATAAGCAGATTTAAGAGCATATGACTTCACAAACAGAAGTTGCAGCAAAAAAAAAAGTTTTGATTGGCTTCTCTGACAATCTAAAATCTGGTCAATGTGCTGATTGCATTCCATTTGTGACCAGATATTGTCGGTGTATTTGTATTAACTAAGGTCACCGTGTAACCTGGTGTGTGTATGGGCAACTGCCAGAAAGGGTGGGCCAGCTGCGTCCTTTCTTTGCCTCCAGGTGCTCACACCTGCTGTATGTTTTGTACTGCTGCTAGAGGTTGTGCACTGAGCCAGAGCAGGGAACTGAACCAGCTGAAAACTAGTTAGACAAAAATTAGTTTTCATCTAGTTTAATTCCCTGACCTGTCCAACATGGAGCCACAAAACTGCTTGCGTCAGCACAAGACGCACTGTGAGTAAAGCAGCATAGTGTGTGGGCTGGGGCCAAGTCAGCTTCCTTTGGTGGCAGGGGTAGTCTAGTCTAGCGTAAAACTGCAGTTGAACTCTATACCATTTAGTATTAATACAGGTAAGCTGTGCATCTTAGGTCAGATGATGTTTCAAATATATTAATGCATTTTTTTGTGCTGTATGTCCATACTGACTTTTTTACTAATGTTTCAGTGCACATTAAATTCTCCATAACTTTGGAAAACTTACAGACACAACAAAGAGCATAAAACATCAAATTTTATGTCTTTGTGGTGTTAGACTAATAATCAAGTACCATGATGTAATGAGCAGTTTTCAGACCTGAGTTTTAATCAATATTCTGTGCTGCAGTCTAACTGCATAGAGTGATTTGTAGGATTAGGGGTTCTTGAAGTTTGGCTATCTGAGTGTTGAATACAAAAAATGAGAAATTGAAGAGGCTTACTGTAGTCTTTTTAATAATGAATTATTTACATTATTATTGATCCAACAGTGACTATGCTGTGACTTAACCAAAGTTAGCTTATAAGCAGTACAACTACTGTTTAGAATGTGTTGCTTTCCATGTCTCCCAGCCTGACTGATTCACATTGAGAAACGAAATGGAAAATAGCAAATGTGTGAATTGTGTTGTGCAGATATGAGACTAGTTAGCAACATGACATTGCTCCTTCCACATGTGTTCACACTCCAGTGAATGTTAGCTTAAATGGGAAAAACTTTGTAAGGTCAAATGGATCCATCAAAGCGATGCACAGATGTGATTGTGCTTCTTGGAGCTGAACAGTGAACTCTACCCCGTGCAGCATGGCAGTGAGATTCTGAAGCTTGTGGCTTTGTCTTATCCCTGACAAAGCGTGAAAAAATCAAAGTGAGCCTTAGTGCTGTAAATTCTTCAGTATATGAATTAAATGAAATCACCTTACACAGAAAACTTTATTAGTTAGGTCAGAGTGAGCTGGCACCGCTTCATTTAACAGCAGTCACTCCCCGCTGCTCATTTCCATGCTTGCTTACTGCCTGTTTTGTAATCCTGTAGATATTTGCATACCCATGAATTGTACTGAATGGTGCAACTCACCTGGGTTTTAAATCTAAAAAAAAAAAAAAAAAAAAAAAAGGCGGTTTTACCTTTGCTTATCTCTTTGATCTGGTTCACCATTTAGCATTGCAAGTGCTTCTGCTGGCATAAATAGGAGGTTAGTGCAAGAAGATTGTTGAACTGCTACTTAATGGTTGCAAAGCTAATTTAAAGTGCTCAGTAAACTACTAGCTTAGTATCACAGTCTTAATTTAAAAATAATAAAGGTTTAAAATACAATCTTCTCTTTTGATTTGTAGTCAGTAGAAATTGCAACAGTTGCAGATTCTTTAGAAAGTCTAAGTCCATTAAAAGAATTATATGCGTGCATAGCATATATAGTCTGTTTCCCTGCCCCTTGAAGTAGAATTGATTTTTTTTTTCTTTTTTTTAATTTCTTTTTTCATTGTCGGAGTTTAGAAACTTCTGAGTACTGAGCATCTTTCTCATGAAATAGGAGGAAATATCAATAGTTAATTCAGGAAAATTCTCTAACTTGGAGAGTGCAGGGTGTAAGAGATAGGATTAAACACTAGTATTCCTTTTATGTGTTCATGTAAACTTTCAGACTATTTGTGGTGCCTGCCTAGAGCTGTGCTCTGCAAAAATCACATTAACTGCTTTTCTGACTATTTTTCCCCTTAGAAAAGAGCTATCTCTTAATTTTTCCTCAAGAATTAGCATTTTGCTCAGTTGTTTATATCTCTGAAATCTTGTTTTGTAGATACTTATCTCCAAAGTAGTTGACTAAATGTATCATTGTTTGTTTTCAAGGAGAGAAGACGTGGCCGTGGAAGATACGGAGGTAGGAAGTGTGGTCGAGGTCACAAAGGAGAAAGACAAAGAGGAAATCGCCCCCGATTAGGCTTTGAGGGTGGTCAAACTCCATTTTACTTGGCCATACCAAAATACGGGTTTAATGAGGGACATAGGTAAGTTTCTTCACATTTACTCAGAAATTAATCATTGTCTGCTTTTCTTGATCTTTCTCCTGAAGCCAGAATCTAAGATGCCAGAACATAGGCCTAACTGAAAATGAGACATTCCTCTCAGATTGTTAGCTTCCTTATCAGCCGAATCTCCCATTTCTTGTGAGATTTTTTTTTTAATGAATTCATTTATTTTCTGTTGGTTTACAGCTCTGCTTGTTTGCGCCTTTTCTTTGCATAGTCCTTCATATGTAGCAGGTTACCCTTCGTCCTACAGCTGAGTGCGTTTCTTCTCTCAGACCACTCCTCCATACATGCTTGTTTCTCCCTTTGCCTGCCTGCACAGCAGATAACCTATTGAACTGACTGGGAACAGTCCCATTGACTCGAGTGAGGTTGTTAGGCATGGAAGTGTAATCCAAACCCTTGCTTTGTTATTTCTCTTTGCTTTATTCACCTGAAGCTCTCATCTACTGCTAGCCAAACAATTCTGCTTCTCTTCATGGCTCTACTTTTTTTAGCCCTGCAACACTGCAGTCTTTGTCTGTCTGTGCTCCATCTGTTCCACCTAGGAACAAGCTTTTTAATATCAAATCTATTGGATGAAGCCATTAAGTCATCTTTCACAATTGTTCTCCTCAGACATTCTGCTTGTTTGACATTTCTGTCCCCTTTTCACGTTGTGCTTGTTTGTGCCTTGTCCTTCTTTCAGCTTTTTAATGTTTAAAATGATTCTTCTAACCAGTCGCTATTCTTAGCTGGAGATCTGTATGCCAGTGTTTTATTAATTTCCTTCACTATATTGACAATTACAAAACTTTTTTGTTTGGTTTTTTTTGTTGTTGTTGTTTAAAGCTGTTCTTATTTCCTAAGATGGCACGTGTGTTACCTTGGTCACTAACCATTTTGTTGCTTTTAGGTATGGTCATGAAAATATTGTATGGATACAGAAGTTGTTCTAGGCAGTAGTAACAAAAACATGCCACACCTAGCAGACAGTTCAAGAATGAAAGGACTTACGTGAATTTATTTGTGAATTGTTAAACTTACAGTTTGATTTTATGTTTCATTTGCTGTTATAACTTCATCAAATAGCTGTGCATTTTTATATTTCCATTCTTTATGCTTGCAGTATAACCTACCGACCTGTCCTGATTATCAAAGCTTTTCTCTGTCACTCTTAATAGTTCTGAAGTGTGATTCAAACTGTATTTCCAAGTACTGTCACTTCCTCCTGTTTCCTTAACTTATTATAAATGAGAAGCACCTTTTATAGCTGAAGACACAGTCTAGATCATGAATAACCAACAGAAAAAATCCAAGTTTCTGCAGTGACAAGAAATTAATAGGGTCTTGCTGTTTTTAACCTCATCTGACAGCACGTGGAAACAAAAAAAGTACTCTGTAAGTTCTTTTCAATGTTGTTGGCAAAATTTCCATGCCAGGCTATTGTAAATGTTTTTCTAGTGAACATTGTAAGTGCACTTGAGAGAGACTATCGTGGCAGGATGGGAGCATGCTGAACAATGTCTCTGCCTGTTTATCTTCACCTCTCTCTTCTTTCTGCCTGCAGTGGTGTTCCTCTACTTTTTGAACTTTTGCTCTGTTAGGAACTGTCTGACAGTGCAAATTCTGTTGCTTGTCTTGTCTTGCATAGCTTGCCTATAACAAAGATAAGCTTCTTAGTGTTTCTGCTACCACTCACAGGTTTCCAATAGCAGTGGTTAAACTGATTGTATGAGAAAGTTCTGAGCATCAGCATAAATGGTATGCAGTAGGCGTAGACACTGGGATCGGGAAAACTATTCTAAGGATTGGTTTGTAAAGTAAAGTTAGAACTTCATAAAATGCAAAAGTGGATTCTGCTGAAGCTGATGGCTATTGACAAAATATTCCGATTTCCTTTGGGGATATGGATTAATGCATATTTTCTCAGTATTTCTCTTCCTTGGTGGTACTTTGAGGAAGATTCCATTCAATACTTCTGAGATGTCAGGTACAGTGGTAATGGACTAAAAAATCTTTTTGAATATAGGCAAGCTGTACAGGAGTACATACAGGGTTTGGCTGATAGTCTTTGACTAAATTTGTATGGGAGGGGAGGATATATTTGGTTTTGACTGTGGGTTTGGTTTTTTTTTTTTGTCAGATTATCTGAATGTATCAGTGAAGCTACCAAGCTGGATTTGCTTTGAAGATAGTTATTTAGAATCTTGTTGGCTTACCAAGAAATGCTGACACTTTAATTTCTTCATCTGTTTTTGCTTCCTTAAATCAGTCAGCAGGTAGAGAGGTGTTCTGGAGTAATTGAGCTCGGCAACAGCAAAATGATTAATATCATATTGGAGGTGGGGGCGCATGAGCAAACCTGAAGGCGTAACGGAGTTTTGGGCTGTAACTAGGGCTTGCATTTGCATTAAATTAAACTTAAAATTTTGGCTTATGGATGGGTGTGTTTTAAACATTTACTTGGTAGTTTTAGGAGTAGGTAGAAAGTGGAATACAGTGTGGTATATATCAGTTGATCAGTTCCTATTAAAGCTTCAATTCTGTAAATTTCTCATTGTTTTGTTTGTTTTTTTCTGTTTTCCTCTCCCCAGCCTCAGACGTCAGTATCAACCGCTCAGTCTTCAGAGGCTGCAGTACCTGATTGATTTGGGTAGAGTTGACCCCACGCAACCGATTGACTTAACACAGCTCACTAATGCCAGAGGTGTAACAGTGCAGCCTCTCAAAAGGGATTATGGTGTACAGCTGGTGGAGGAGGTATGCATACAAGACACTTACTACTTCAGGCAGTATAAAGCCTTGGGTTTTCGGTTTTCCATACCAGGCTGTCAGATTGTCCTTCCCATGTTTTGGAAGCATCTTTGCTTTTCTAAATTAGTTTGCTGTGGAGTTTTTCTGATAATAAATCCGCTAGAGGGCACTGTGTGTTAGCAAGAAAAAAACCCAGGATGATGTTTTAAGACCTGAAAGACTACAAAAATAATGGTTAAGGAGCACATAACAAGAGGTTGAACAAGTATTTTAGAACAGAAGACTAGAATGTGTTGAAAGAAATGTATGCATATTTTAGACAGGCAAAATTTTTTCATTCAGTCCAGGTGACTTGAGTGAGAGCAGTTTGGTTACCCGACTTGGTGCAGGGAACAGACAAATCATAATATTTTGCAAGATGTAATGTTTCATACAACTTTGCAGGGAAGAATAAATGTATGTCCTAAAATACTCATTTTAATGTTACTCTAATATTTGTTGAAATTTACAGGGTGCTAATATCTTTTCAGCAAAAGTAAATATTGAAGTGCAGAGGGCATCTGAATTAGCAATTGCAACGATAGAAAAAAATGGAGGTGTTGTAACAACATCGTTCTATGATCCAAGGAGTTTGGGTAAGAATTTCTTTTCATTTCTGACTTTATTTTTTTCTGAATGTGTGAAGATTAAATGATCCAAGTCAAAGTTTCAAACATAGTTCTTACTGGAAAATCATCAACTTCTTCTGTTCTAAAAAGCTTCAACAACACATTGTTATAGTTTCAGTTTCGCTTTTTTTAGCCGTTCACCTGTTTAGCCCTACCAGTGTTAGTAGTCACTTACCAATCAGTCAGTTAAAGAAATCCAAGTAGCTTTGTAAATAGAGGAACTAATAAAAGAGTGTTTCTTTGAATTTTTGTCTTCTAGCTTTCTCATGTGTTTAATAACCCTAAGAAAATTCAGGAAAAAATTAGATTTAAAAAACACCATACATGTTTATATTTTTAATTTAAAATACTTTTCCAATTAAAGTGGGGAAATAACTAAGTTACAAGAGCTCAGAATCATTCCAGTCAAAATGGCCATTGTTTTCAGAACACTTTCACTGAAGAATGAGGCTTTGCTTTGCTTGAGGCTGCATCCTGCCTAATATTCATTCATGGAGTTTTTATTGACAATAATGAAGCTTTCATGTGTGAATGAGGCTGAGAACAAGAGGAATAGACATTTTTAGTGTGCAAAATATGTTACCCTGGAGTGATAAAAGTTCTTTCTTTCCAATCCAGAAAATAATCAAAAATATTAAGGTTAAAAGGATCTGGAATGTAACTTGCCAAATTCAGTAAAACTTGAGGAAGAGAGAATAGTCTCACAAATGACTAAATAGGTGTGCGTGCCATTGATTCTTTATTTAAAATAGGTATAGAAACACTAAATTTCACAGTTGTTAGTACACTCTGTAAATAGTCATGCAAATGCATTGCTTCTAATGTGGAAGTCAATCCTTTAAATAAATGGCATCTTCTGGCTTAGTTATTGTGTCTTTCCAAAGTAGGCATTCTAAATGTATTAGAAGTAATGATTCATCCAGATTGTCACTATAAATATCAGTTAAAACATCGTTGTTTGTTTGGTTAAGTGAAACTTGTTAAACACTATCTTATTCTGAACAAGAATATTCTTAAGATTTGGTTTTTTTGCTTGATACTTTTAATAAGAGTTTAATAATTTATTTGGCACAAAATACTAAATAAGAAGGTGTCATTTAATGTCTTTAAATACGTATTATAAAGCATAGTATCTAATTTTCTCTCATGTTTGCCCACAGAAATTTTGTGTAAGCCAGTAGTATTTTTTCTGCGTGGCCAGCCTATTCCAAAGCGAATGCTTCCACCGGAAGATCTAGTCCGTTACTACACAGATGCCAGGAATCGTGGGTACCTGGCAGATCCATCTAAGGTTGCAGAAGCCAGGCTTGAACTTGCCAAGAAATACGGTTATGTCTTACCAGACATAACTAAGGATGAACTCTTCAAAATGTTAAGCGCACGCAAGGATCCTAGACAGATATTTTTTGGTCTTGCCCCAGGATGGATCGTAAACATGGCAGACAAGAAAATTCTAAAACCAACTGATGAGAAGCTGTTAAAATACTATAGCTCATGAATTGAGGACTGGAGACAACTGCAGGTGTACAGGAAACATCTGGGTATGAAATAATGGATACAAAGTGATGTTTGTTTTTTTTAAGACTCCTGTTATACTAGACAAAACACAAATTTTTGTTTATGTAATCTTCTGCTGTAGCTCTCAACTTTTTTATTGTCATAATACAATGTATGAAAAGTCTTAACATTTGGAAACAGCGTAGTGTCTGACATAAAGTGTGTGTTTGGACACTTTCTCTTATGATGATTTGCGAGTTACTTTTTCAGACAAAATGTTTCGATGTTGCATTTATTTCAGAGGATGATTCCAAAGAGTAACTAATAATTAGTTGGGTTTTTTTCCCCCTCAGTTTAAAACCAGAAACATGGCTGTACAAAACAAATATTAGTTTTACAATCATATTACGTAGCATTATATTTTATGTTTTAGAAAATGGTATCTTGAATACCTCTAAGAGGTACACCATCTAATTTTGGATGGGGAAAATTAAAAACAACTAGAAATAACAAAGTACGGAAGAATTCATTAACCTCTTCAATTCCATAGCAATGTTTTGGGTTTAGCCACTGCCATCAATAGTATTAGCGCTTGAGAATTCTTGATTTTTGTCTTATTCCTTCAGATGGAATTGAGAAAGACAGGATGTGCAGTTTAAAAGAACTTTCTATCTAAATTAAAAAAAAAAAGCTATCTTAAATCAATGGCTTCTATTATTCAAACAAAATTTAAAACTTGTCCTGACACAAATACAATGTCATTAATAAAAATGCATAGCAGAATCCAGAGACAATGAATATCAGGCAGTGACAGTAGATTGTGAAGGATGCGGATGTAATGGACAAAGTACACAATTAGGGTCCAGTTTTCAGCTTGATCACAGATTGCATATGTGACAGTGGACAAATGAATATAGATGTCCTGAAAAGTGATGAACAAATTATTTTTATGGGAAACAGTATTTTAATCACACCAACTTAATATAATCTTGAAAAATATTTTCCAACAAATGTTTATTTCATCAATCTCTCCAGAATACTGTACTATTACTATAGAAGAGTATTCTAGGTTTCATATGGAAGCTTAGGGCATTCATTGGGCATTTGGGATGATGAACCAAGCAGTAAATTGAAAGATGAGAGAGGAGACTAAGTTAATCTATCGGATCTTGATCTAACTCCTCAGAAGTTAATGAGATGCTTCATAATTACATGAACTTTAATGGAAGCTGAATTTGGCTTTAAAATAGGGGTAATTCGGTTATTAGGAAACAGTCCGGAAGACCGGAACACAAGAATAAGTTTTGCTTTCCAATTTTCGTGTGCCTTTGGAAATGCTACTTATAGTTTCCTGTAGCTGCCAAACCATCCCATCTCCTAGGGAAAGCCTTCTGAGTGCCAGAATCTCCTGTTTCTCCTGTATAACACCTGTATTTCACCTGTGTGCCTTGGGGCAGGGCGAGGGGAGAAAAAAAAAATTTAAAATATCTTCTTTTTCTTTCAGAGAATAACAAGAAGCGGATGAATTTTTTTGTTGGTGTTTGTCAACCAGCCCAGATTTTTGCTTCACTCAACAAACTGCCTTGTCAATTAATATGAGCATCTGTAATCACAAAACAAAATTAAATAAGTCTTCTATTCTCATGCTGATTAAATAATCTGAAATCCAGAGACTAACAATGGAAAGTCACTAATTTTTGACAACTTACTCTTCAGCTTCTATTGTCTGTTGTTAATGTGTGTTGGATGCTATCAGTAATGGTCATTCTCCTGATTTGTGGTTAAGTATAGGTGAAACATAGCAAAACAACACCAATATAAAATTGGATTGTGAATAGCAGGAATTTGTTCTTAGTGGCGTTAACATTCATATTTTATAAGGTGCACAACACTTTTTTGGCACATTAAGAATAATACCGTGTGCCAAAAAAAGTATAGCTAGCGTTAACTTGTATGTGAAGTAAATAACTTTCTCACTTTAGATGTATCCTGTTCTGCATCCTGATGATTGTTGGTTTGGAAACTTAAATGACAAGCAATACTTTTTTTTTTAACTTTTTTTTTTTTCTTTTTGTTATTACAATACTACTGCCTCCATTTGGGAAGGAGTTGGAGGCGGGGGAAGAGTATTTATTGCCTTCCCTTATTTGTGCCATAATGTTTCTGTTTTTATGAATCAATTCACAATTGTATTTTGTGGAGGTGGTGGTACTCAACAGGAAAGCTACTTAACTGGAAGCGAAGAAGGAAGTTAGTCATATTAGTGAAGACCAGAAGACAAAAGTGTTTATGTATCATTGTGTATTTTTGGGAGGAGAAGAGGGGGGAAGGCAAAAAAAATGCTCTTTGTATTGAAATGAACAAATCACAATTTTTTTTTCTAAATCAATTTCTTTGATATACACACGCGTGCACGCGCTGGTTTCTGTAGGCTTCTAAATGGTTTTCAGGTGAAAGGGTAACGGATAAAATGATAACAGTGAAAGAAAGAATGAAAACAGGAAACAGATGTCTGGTGACGTCGAGGGATTGGATAGCACTTATTCAGTGAACGATGTCTTAGTCACAAGGCAGCTGTATCCTGGCTCTGATACTATAACGCTACAAATACCTTGGAGCCAAAACAGCCACGTTCCACAAAATCCGGTCATTCTACTTTATAAAGGTGATCTTTTATCATCTTATAATTGGAGAGGGCAAAAAGGGCTGTATGTTGCTTTATTTAAAATATGCAATGCTTGTCTTTTTTTCTCTCTTCTGTTTACAGTAGCTAGTATTTTATAACGGTTGTTCTGATTTTTATTTACTAGTGAAAAAAGTGACAAGGCTATAGAGGATTTCCTGTTCATTTTATCTCATCAGGAACACAAGTCTCCTGGCAACTGAATACAGAATTATCAAAAGTACAAGTAAGTTATTGACAAGGTTTCTAATAAATCCATAACAAACAGCCTCCCAATGGACTATTGTTTATGTGAGGGTCAGGCTCAGCGATGCAAGACTCTAAGCCGGTACTGGCATCTGAGGCCATTCTCTTTACTTAGGAATATGTACCATGTTTTCATGTTCATAAGGTAAATGATTGCCTTGGATATCCTGTTTTGATAGGGGTTTTTCATACGCAACAATGTATTACACAGCAAGAAGGACCCAATCTGCTGTAACCGGAAAAGTACTATCAAGGAGCTGAGGAAAAGAAACATTATTTGTGCCATAAAATACTGAAAGGCATGTCAATTTTTATCAACAACATCATACTTTTGAATGGTTCCTTGATAGAACTGATTACATATGTGAGACTGAAATCAAAATAAAGGCCTCTGAATGAGTACATACTTTGTTATATCATACCTTGATAATTAGAAATCACCTGTTTCTTATGAGATAGACTCTCTAACAGCAGCCAGTTAATACTATACTTAGAGGTGGCTGACTGCAGACTCGAAATGAAGCAAGTTAAAATAAATGCATTTTCCCTTTTACTTACATGTACAACAAAGACACACTGGCTTTTCATTCATTATACTTCACAGTATAGTATTCGTGTTTAACAACCAAAAGTTGACTGTACCATTCACGAATTTCCAAAAAGGAATAAATGAATAAATCAGTGGCCCTGATCTGAATCTTCACTGGCAGTGTGCCAACATTGTTTTGACATACGAGCATAATTGATGTTAGTGCTCCAGGAAGTCATATAAAAGTGATCAATTATGAAGATAGCTTCCCATTGCTATTTTATTATTTTCTATTTTATTGCTAAAATTTAAAATGCTAATGCAAAGCTAATTTTGCAGTGTTGAACGCTCAGAAGTTCTGTAAAAATTTGTTTCTAATTTGAAATTGTTGCACGAGTTTTGTATTTTAAACATTTAAGTGTTATATTTACATATATCTAAAATAAGAAAGATGCTGTGTCTGTCCAAAATGGCCAGTTTAATATTCCATATGCAGATTTATTTCTTAAAATTTCTTGATTGGGGATCAGATGGGAATAGTTTTACATAACTCGCAGTCTGCACTTCAGTTTATTGTGTTATGGTTTAGTCTATGAAAAGATGTAGTTAGAAGTCCTGGTGTGACAGAATTCTTACCCGGTAGAGGAAAATTATGAACTTTTTAAGTTCCTTCATCCCCTAGCCCAGGTGGCCCATCTTGGTCCTTTGTAGCAGAAATATGTGGCATTGTCTAAAGAATTACTGGTTTCTCAGTGGAAGCAAACTATCCTCAGATCTATTCTGTCTTCTTTCATTAATATTCCCTCTGTTGCATCTGCATCTTCCCGAGATCTCATCTCACTTCTGTTGTAGTGGTGGGAACTACAGGGCTCAATCATTCTCACAGTGTCATCCTGTCTGGCCCACTCTGGGTTTGAAAATCTGGTTGTTTTATGTGCCTCTGGAGCAGGAAAAGTGTTGATCATTCCTGCATCTGTTTATACGAGGGGGTTTTTCGTGGCTTGAGTTTCCTGGACTGGTGTTGCTTTTGTTGTTAAAAATGTCAACAGCAATGTTGTTTACTTGTTAACCTTGTAGATTCCAAGACACATGCCGACCAAGTTGGAGCGGCCTTTGAGCAATGGATTCAGAGTTTATTCAGAGTCAAGGAACACTCCTAGAAGGGTGTCTGTGCACTTAACTCGGAATTACACACACTAGATACAAGTCTTAATGGATAGGCAATTTTGCATTCAATGCGTCAATGCCCAAATCGGTCTCTCCTTGCACTTTTGGAAACCCAGCCTCTGTTAGGTTCGTTCTGTTAGGTTTGTTCTAGTTTCATGTTAGGTTTGTCCTGTCTGCTCTCTAATCTATAATTAAGGGCAAGTTAGCCTGAAAGTCTGCCATTTCTTGGTGTTTATATTTTTATTGTAATTCCTTGGGCAGGTAATGACAGCTAGAGGTTTGTGTATAGAGCAGTCTATGAAAAACAAGTCGATATGTAAATTTACAATAAACTAGTTCTCTATGGGTTTTTTTGTGTTGCTAGTGTGGTTTGCCTTGCTCCCAGTACAGAGGACCTTAAATTAAGAAAATAAATTCACTCAATATCTGACAAGGGAGATGCTTTCTTTACTTTTTTGAATGTAGCTGTGGTTCAGAACTTCAAAAGTTGGAATCCAAGTTCCTTTTTAAAGGAGAACATGTAGACAATTGTTTAAGCTCACTTCATAGTCAGTAGAAATCTGATTGATACAGTCAGTGGAGCCTGAGAATCACTGCATTTAGCCT